TTTCGCGGTATAAATCAAGTCATTACCCACAAGAAAAATTTAATTGAGTAGGACTGAGTAGAAAAATAACACCAAGCCAGACTACTGTTTATTATATCGTTTATTTAAACGTTTGTCATCGATTTTTAATTGACAGTTTAAGTTGGGATACATATATAGAATAAAACTTTTGTTTGTTATAGTATGTGAAACAATGAACAAACGAAAGGATCACTGGCAAACTTTATAACACATTAAGGATATATTTTTTTAATCTACTTTTGTTGTTTTAGCGGCTTCCTTATTTGTTCGTGGTTCTTGTTTAACATTTACCACAAGTTTTAGCACAGTTTGTTGCATATTTTTGTGATCCACAGTTATTGTTTGCTTTCACATGTTTGCAGGTATTAGCAGAAAAGTTGTCTTTGCACCCTGCAAATCAAGAAAGGAAAGATAATAAGTTGTTTACGAGGCATAGCCAATTACCGATTCTTCGAACACGACTTACACAAAGCCCATATCACTGACTTTCCAAGCTAAACAATGCATATCAACCAAAAGGAAATACTTCACTTGATGTTATGTTTTGTACATTTTCACTGCATATATTGACATATATAGTTTTACAATTAAATAACTTTATTTACTGACAGTTGGGTACCTCGTTTGACGTTCCTGAAATTAGGCCAGTCTTCCTCGTAGTCCTCATCTCTCTCGAAATCATCCCATTTCGCACGCATAGAGGTCACGGAGACGACAAGGATGGCGCACAAAAGAAACACAACGACAAGCCTGGAATTCATGATGGTTACACACCTACGACATTCAAAAATATCAAATCATCTCTCGGGGGACTGAACTCGCGATCTTTAATTTAAAGTTCGAGAAATCAACACAACAAGCAAGAAATTTAGGTGAAGAGAATATTGGAAATATGAGAAAATAAAGTAAACCAAACCAAAACAAAACCAAAACAATAATGGTAATCATACAAAGAAAAACCATGATGAAAAGACCCCATTTGACTCCATGCCATATCTCTGAATTGCCTTACCTTTTATCTGTAAATGTTATTCTTGAAATCTTGCATCAACGACGTCTGAAAGAAGACTGAATTGCCTTGCTCTGTAGAAAGAATAAATTGGTAATATTATGAAATAGTTGCTGTGGCGTAAGCTATTGTCATAAGTATATTAATTTAACATTACTTCGCCATTAAGAAAATACGAGCATTGATTGGCCTTTCACTCGGGGATATCTGACCTCCTCCCCTTGGTTTCCGCTTGGGCTCCGTTAGTGCTATGCCCTCGTGCGGAACCTGACGGCGGGAACGCTGAATCACGCATCCAAATGAAAGGCCAATGCCTTCAGTCATAAACCCTTAATTAGTACTTACTTAATTTTTAATCATTACTGGTTTTACTGCTAGTGTGAATATACCTTTGCCCCAATTAAGCTATTTTATCTTTCAGGTCTTAATGCAGGTCGATTAATTATTACTTAATCATATATTAATTCATGTTAATGAAAGCTCTAGAACTTGTATGTTTTTTAGAAACTTTAGCGCCTAATAATTTGCTAAAGTCTGAGGATCGTATTTTGTGTCGTTCGATTAAATTATATATATTTTCGACAGAGAACCTTACTTTACCTATATGAATGCAACTCTATGAAACCATACCGTTCATGAAACTATACACAATTGCAAATATTTGACAAATTGTATACTAGAGCATTTATGCAACCTGCAGTGCATTTGGTAACTTCGCAATACAATGTACTTCTAAAATAAGTTGTAACGAAGTTGTAATATTCAAGGCAATGTAAATTTAGAACTTGCCTGTGATTTTATTATATGTTTTATTATATATTTTTTTCTTTAATCTGAAATGAAAGATTGGGAAGGGGCCTGAAAATGTGAACAAAAAATTAAGAAGATTTTGTCATTGCATTTTTGTAAGAAGCTTTCGCGATTAAGTTAACATGCTGTCAGTGTCGCTCGAAGGGAAAGTCATTTGGTCTTTCATGCAAAGCAATTAAGGATATAATTATTCGTACTTGAGTCTCAGCTAATGTTTTCTACAGCATAAAAATAAGTGCTTCTCAAATGTGGTGATCCGAATTATTGAGATAGAACGAAATGCGCACTCGATCATATATCGGCATGTGTTGACTGCCCAATATTTAGTAAATAAATATTATTATTATTATTATATGTTTATTTCAATTAACTTCAGACATTTTTGCTATATGAATACAGAATACTGCGGGCATGTATAGTCTAAGCAAATGTCTGCATGACTGGTTTTTGCAAAGATCAATACAAATTTAACAATTGTACAGACGTTTCACAATCTAACAGTTCTGTGAAATAACCCATTTCTGACACTTTCTTACAATTTTTATACCATCAGTGAGGCCTACAACAGCCAGTTTACTAATCAAATCCGTGTGATATTATTATTATTATTATTATTATTATTATTATTATTATTATAAATGCTTGGTGAGTAAAAACAAAGTAGGGGATATAGCGTGGTCAAACAGTCGTTCCTACTTAGAATCAACTATCATATAGTTCAATTCGTAAACGGGTAGCATCGGAATTAAAATTAATATAAAATCTATAAAATTAGTTTGCGATGTTTAAAATGCATGAGCCATGAAAAAGGATATCACGTCCTGTAAGAACAGATCTAGAATGCTCCACTGAGAGAATGCAGTAATCATTAGCGCATTGCATTGACGTTGTTTGTAGTGTGTGAATGGATTTTCAACTGAACCATGCGACCGTGAAAAGTATAGCGTTAAGAGAAAGTGCCCAAAAACCTTAGTCAGTCTTCTTCTAGAAAGCTTTGACGATCGTTGCGCCAGTCAGACATCAAGTAAACAAAATTGCTCATAAACAAAGCTAAGCCCAACAAAACGTTCCCATAATCAATATGCTCTCCCACCCCGTATACTTTAGTGATACTTTACTCGAGAAATAAACATAACAAGCAAGAAGTTTAGGAAATAAAGACTGTTTACAAATATCAAATCATCTTTCGGATGACTGAACGTGCAAACTTTAATTCAAAGTTCGAGAAATAAACACAACAAGCAAGAAATTTAGGTGAAGAGAATATTGGAAACGAAAGAGGATAAGCCAAACAAAGCCAAAACATCATCGTGACCGAGCAAAAATAAAAAAAAAAAAAAAAAAAAAAAAAAGATCATAGTCAAGTACAACATTTGCCTTTAAATATCTAGATTGCCTTAACCTTTATCTTTAAATGTTGATCTTGAGATCAAACTGCTTCTGAAGAAAGAATAAATGCTCTTATCTGGTTGAAAGAATTTAAAGTTGAGAGAACTTTTACTATCTTCTTTAATATCCGCAGGCTGCACAATAAGACTCAGGTACATTGCACCAATTTCCAATCACGTAACCGTTTTTAAATTGTTATTACAAAGGCAGGTATTAGTGATTTGCATCGACACAGACGTCGGCCTTGAAAAAGTCACGTTATTTAGATTATGCCTGAACACTGAAAATTTGCTACCTCTTTTGAAATAAGGTTGTTCTTCTTCATATTCTCATCTTTCTCGAAATCATCCAACGACTTTTCACGGCTCTGTTCAAAGAATGAATTACAACTTATCATCAGCCGTCATTAAAAACAATGGATAATGAAGCGCTTTATTCGTATGTAGTACGGTTCGTCTCTTTTGAAGCTAGTCTCCCAATTTGAAATTCACCTTTTGTATTTGGCCTTTTCCCAAGAAAAAATATATATTCAAGACCAAAAAAAGGGAAGAAAACATATTCTTAGGTTTTCTCCTGAAAAAAAGTATTTTTTGAATTCTTCGAGTTCTTTTAACTCCTGATTATTCATTAATTATGTAGTATTGCAAGCTCTTGACTTTGTACAAATGTTTAGCAAAACATTAGCGCCTAATAATTATAATCATCACCAGTTCTATGCTAGTCTGGATAAATTTTGAAATTATGAAATTGTTCTGTGTACTATAGAGCATTGATGCAGTTTGCAAATGCATTTTGGAATACAATATACTTATCAGTGATAAGCTCTTGACTTTGTACAAATGTTTGTAACAAACATTAGCGCCTAATAATTATAATCATCACCAGTTCTATGCTAGTCTGGATAAATTTTGAAGTTATAAAATTGTTCGATAAAATGTGTACTATAGAGCATTGATGCAGTTTGCAAATGCATTTTGGAATACAATATACTTATCAGTGATAAGCTCTTGACTTTGTATGTTTGTAATAAACATTAGCGCCTAATAATTATAATTATCATCAGTTCTATGCCAGTCTGGCAGAATTTTAAAGTTATGAAATTGTTCGATAAAATGTGTACTAGAGCACTGATGCAGTTTGCAAATGCATTTTGGAATACAGTACAGTGATAGCTTCTAAAAGCAACAAAGTCTTAATGATACATTTTTATTCATTTAATCCAATTATTTTACTATCTTAGGTAAATTTAAAATTTGCTCATATATTTTTATCATACCTCCCTTTTCCCTTTTCTCTAAATTGAGAATCATCATATCTCTTTTTAAGAATGAGACGTGCTCGTTGTCGTTTAGCTTTTCAGAATAATTAAAGTCTGAAAATTTATGTTAATGAAAGATTTTGACCTTGCCTTTTTGTTAGAAAATTTTGAGCTTAAGTTAATAAGCTCAGTGTGTGGCTTTTCAGGCGGATAATTATTTGGCCGCCAAATTAATCGAGCGGGATACAATTTGTTTTATTCTTAGCTAGCATTTCATCAAGCGTCAAGGCACAATATCCAAGGGAATGAAACTCGTTTGGAGTAAAGCAAATCCAGTAATAAACACTCATTAGCAGATTGGTTGCAAACCATGTCCAATTCCTTTATTTGCAATATTTTCAGTTCAAGTTTAAGTTGTGTGCCACTTCTATCGCCCCTTCTCCAGTACTAAAGAAATCAAGAAATCTTTACCTAACTTGTTTTATCATTTTCGCTTAATGCTTTAAATTTTTCGGTTTATCACTAACTCTAATCTGTGACTCTTAGTGACTGTTTAGCAAGATAC